ATTCATAACTGGGCAGGAAAGGAATGTGGGAGGCAGGGGCAGGAAGCGCTCACAGGTAATAATCCACGGAAGGGAGGACAAGCGTTAAGCCAGAGACAAGAGAGGAGGGCTCTAGTCCCATCAGCAGTTAATGTGGCTGGGGACTTAGGAAACCTCTCTGGGCCTCCCGTTCTTGGACCATAAAGTGAAGGCTCTGAGTCTCTGTGGCCCTGAAGTACTGCCCAAGCCCATCCACGAGTCGCCTGAAATGCAAGCCCTTCCTCCGCTCTCTGCGGGTTCCGGCTCTCTGCCCCATGCGCACCTGTGCACCTGTCCGAATCCACCAGCATGTGAACAGCTGTACGGCCAGGACAGTGAGTCTTCTTCACTGCTGCCTGTGCCTGGCCTCTTAATATACCTGCTGGTACTGGGTGAATATTCGAATGAATACAAAAACCACATGCCTGGGGGAAGACCAGGGAAATGATTTGCTTTCCAGTAATCAAAAGCCAACTACATGAAATGGAAGAAAATGTAGGTGATGCTCCCTGTAATCACCAGACTGACCCCAAGCCAAACAGACGAGCACCCCAAAATATCACTCCCCTTGAAACAACTGGGTAAACTCCTACACCGTTGGTGGGAATGTAATTTGGTGCAGCCACTATGGAAAACAGTATGGAAGTTTCTTAAAAAACTAAAAATAGTTACTATGTCATCTAGCAATCCCACTCCTGGGCATATATCTGGAACAGATGACAACTCTAATTCAAAAAGACACATGCACCCCAATGTTCACAGCAACACTATTTGCAATAGCCAAGACATGGAAGCAACCTAAATGTCCATCAACAGATAAATGGATAAAGAAGATGTGGTATATACATACACACACACAATGGAATATTACTCAGCCATTAAAAAAAGAATGAAATTCTGCCATTTGCAGCAACATGGATGGACCCAGAGATTAGATGACTAAGTGAAGTAAGTCAGAGAAAGAGAAATATATATCACTTATATATGGAATCTAAAAAAATGATACAAATGAACTTACTTACAAAACAGAGATAGACTTACAGACAGAAAATAAACATGGTTATCAAAGGGGAAAGAGGTGGGGGAGAGAAAATTGGGAATTTGGGATTAATAGATATACATTACTATATATAAAATAGATAAACAAGGAACTACTGTACAGCACAGGGAACTATATTCAGTATCTTACAGTAACCTATAATGGAAAATAATCTGAAAGAGAATAGATATATGTGTATATATGTCTGTATAACTGAATCACTTTGCTGTACACCAGAAACACCAGAAGCATTGCTGTACTTCAATGAAAAAAGACTATTTTCTAAAGTTAAAAAAAAATCTAGGTAAAGAAAACTGAAAAATTGTTCTCTGTAAGATTCAATCTTTGGAACTTTTTGTACCAAAATATAAACCTTTCCAAGTATGAGGCTGACATTACTGGGCACTAGACTCAAGCATTATATTGGGCTAAGATAAGCTGAAGTGAATGTGACCAGAATAAAAACAGCTTTGTAGACAATGAAAATTTCTGAAATTTGTGCTTATAAATTCCTTTATGTTGACTAAAAGGAGGTCACATGGGCCAATATTTCAGCTTTTCTGGGGCTTGTGTCAAGAATGGCTTCTCAAGAGATTCTTTTGTTGAAATACATCCAAGTAAGTCTACAGCTCCAAATGGCTTCTTTCTTTGTGACATAAAAAATGGCATCCCACTTGCATTTTCCTTCGTGCAGCAGTCTCTTTCTGGCAACAGCTCAACGACCTTATTTAAGATCTTTCTTACGGAGTATTGAAGAAGGAAAAAAATGTCACTCTGTCTAGTTCAGTTTTAAATTTTAAAGCTGATGTAAAGATCTTCTAGGTGCTTAGAAAAGCAAACCATGGCCCACTACTAAGCGCCTGTCTGTCTGCCCCTTTTAGATCTCTGTCCACTTGACAGACATGGGTCCTGGGACTCCTGTGGCTGGCCTCCTGGCCACCTGTCTGCTCCTGGGAGGGCTGTGGGAATGCTCTGAATTCTGCACAGCAGGTGGGTATCATTCTTTTCAATAACAGAGATTAGAATAGTGTTTTTCACATTTGCGTGCACTTCAGAATCACCTGAGTAGCTTTAAAACTCCAAACCTCAAGCCATACCCCAAACTAAAATAATCTTTGATGCTGGGAAACACGTATTATTTTTGGAAGCTCCTCAGATGATTTCCAATGTGCAGTTAAGTTTGGGAACCACCGGATTAGTGGTTAAAAGTTTTATTTACACGCACACACGTGTGTGTGTGTACGTGCACTCATTTAACCAGATGTAAAACCGGGTGTTCTCCCAGAATGAGCAGGATGGTGGAGATATTTTCTGCCCCAGCACTGGTGTGCAGGAGCAAGTCATGTTTCCCTTGGGCCAGACCGCCTTCCAGAGCCTGCACCTGTTAGGTGCGCTGGACCAGAAGCTGCCTTCAGGGAAAGTTCTGTGCGACTGTTTGAGCTGCAAGGCGGACTGGCTGGCTAGTCAGATGTTGTGAGTCATCACCTCAAGGAAAACAACTTGCAGTATTCACTGCCAGCGATAGAGCTGGAGTTTCCAAGTGAAAGAAAATGGGACTTCTGGAAAACTGTGAACTTGATAGGTTCCAAAGAATTGAACGACTTTTCTGACAAGATTAGTGGTGATACTAACAAATGTGTTTTTAAGATACTATATAACGAAATGTGTCAACACTGGGGGAGCTTCATAACTCAGTGAACCAGTATTTTCCAGATGACCAGTTCACGTTACAAAATCATGCAGGAGAGAAGATCCCGGCAAAGTGCAGGGCAGACCAAGGGATCTTCCTGTAACAGTGTGTGAAGAGTCCACGTTATTAGAAAGAACATTAAGGAACTGTCACTTGTTGAGGTCACTTGGAAAGCTGTGACACAGTATTAAAGGTTATCACAATTTTCTGAAAAGGCTACTGAAATACTTCTTCCTTTTCCAAATGCGTATCTGTGTGAGGTCAGAGTCTCTTCATGTAATTTGTTTTTCTTTTTTCTGGCTCCTCTTACACATTTCCTGACTCTGTAGTAGACAGTTTCGACTTGCCCACAGAGAGGTCTGTCCTTTGCCCTGGTTTCTGGGAGTTAATCTCAACTCTGGGAGGCCAGTCATACCTGATAGAAACGTCTTCGTTTAGCTTGGGACTGGCCACACTTGATAGTCTTAAGGGAGAGATGGCCATGCCACTTGACTTAGGGTCGGAGCTTTGGGTATTGTACTGGTCAACTGGAGACTGAGATCAACCATGTGAGCAATCAATCCATCATGCCTAAGTAATGGAACCCCAGTAAAAACTGTGAACACTGAGGCTCAGGTGAGCTTCCCTGGTTGGCAGTGTGCCTTGTGTACTGTCACACGCTGATGCTGGGAGGGTAACACGTCCTGACTCCAAGGGGAAAGGCCAACAGCAGCTTTGTGTTGCGGAACTTCTCAGACTGTGCCCTTTGCATCTATTATTCTGGCTGATTTTAATCTGCATCCTTTCCCTGTGATAAACTGTATCCATAGGTGTAATAGCTTTCTATGAATTACATAAGTTTTTCTAGCAAATTACTGAAGCTGAGAGTGGTTTTGGGAACTTGCATAACTTGCAGTTGATACAAGAAGTGAGGGCAGTCCTGGAGCCTGTGACAGCTAGCTTGCAGACTGGAAAATTCCAGGCAACAGCCTCAGATCTGCAGTCAATTATTTCCCTACAGATCTGTCTTCTTTCAGTGAGAAATTGTATTTATATACCAGCCCTGGGTGCCGGGGTGCTCACTGCTACTGAGTGGATGGTCATTGCTTCAAGGCCTTTTCAGTGAACAGAGCCAGAAAAGCTTCTCTCCCTCCCTTTCTCCCCACCCACCTCTTTCTCAAAGAGAAAATCTAGCACAGCTTCATACTGATATTTTCAATTCAAATTTATGATTTCAGATTTTTATATCTTTGATTTTATATTTATATCTTTTCCACTGAGAATCTTGGTATCTATAGCAAATAAGTATTTACATATTTGCTTTATCCTACTACATAATATTTTCAGGACAACAATATCAATATTATTATCAACAATGTGGTGACTGGAAACATTTAAGATTTCTTTCTAGTTCTTTTTTTTCTTTTGAAAATACAGTCAAGTTTCAGATCACCTGAAATAGCCTCTATGTGTGGCTAAGCCATCCACTAAACGGCTTATTTAGGTCCATTTGTTTTATTTTGCTTGATTTTTAGAAATTGCCTTTCCTCTCTATTTCTTTAACTTTGACTTAATCTTGTTTTATGTGTGATGTAAACCCTGTGCTTGGTTCTAAGAGTTAAGTCCACAAAGATCTAGCTTCTACTCCTGTCCCATTTTTACACTTTATACTTTTTAACGGCCCACAGTACTCCATTATAATGAATTTTACATTGTAGATAAAAGACCTAAACCAGCAGTTATTGGATGTGAATGCTATTGCTAAAGCAATGCTTTTAAGAGTAGACTTGATGCTTAAGGTTAAATTCTTCCTTTGTTTATATTGTTAAGTTTTAACAAGCTCTGTTTTGTATGGGGACTGCAAAGGTAAACTTCAGTTCTACACAGTTGAATTGTCACAAAATCAAAATAGTTAAAATTAGAATTAAAAAAAATTTTAATTTACTAAGGGCTATAATTAAGACAGAAATTCTTAAATAGTGAGCACTGATATAATACTACTCTCTCACACATGTGCCTTTAGGCACAGTAGTACCCACGTGTCTCTTGGAGGCTTGTGAACCGAAGGGATGGGAACACCGTAACAGGTGTCCTCTGTCCGCAGCCCCCTGCCCACGTCCTCAGAGCCGCCGCCCTCAACAGTGTCCTCACTCTGTCACTTGCTTCTGGGTGATTTCCTCTACATCCGTGAATTTACATTCTCACTGCTGAAGAAAACTTTTCTCTTTAATATACGTGTCTTTAAGTTTCAGAGAAGATGACTCAAGAACTCACCAGCCCATAGGTCCCATTGTTTCTGCCCTCGTTTTCCCACGTTTTGCCTCTTTAAGAAGTTCTTCTATTGCTTTCCTGATGGGAGAAAGGAAGAAATTTGAGAGGTAGTCACCCTACTACATTCTGAAAATCAGTTTATTCCACATATGTAACCCTGGGAAAGGAACAGCTTTTGAAGCATAAAATTTCAAAATTGGAGGAGAAATTTTAAAAGTGTTTTTAAATCGTAGGTAGTTTTGAACACATAAAAAATAAAAAGAGACCTTTTTCTATAAAGGGGAAAAACACTGAAGAGAAAATTCAAGGAGAAATGATAAATTATATCCATGTTAAAACTGTTCAAATGCACTGTTATTCTAAGAAATACTAATTAACCCAACAATGATAAATCTGTTTCTGCTCATTTGTCAGTGAGGGAGCAGAGAAACAGACATTCTTTTGTCTACTAACAGTGACTGAAGCTAATATACCATTTCTGGAGGACAACTGGCAACATGATAAAAATAAAAATAAAACATATGTGTGGACCTAAAAATTCCATTTTATCCTAAGAAAATATTCAAATAAATATGCAAAACTGCATGTGCAAGGAAACTCATTCAACAACTTGTTAACAACTAAAGAAGAAAAACAGAAAACAAATATTTACTAAAAACAGACTGGGTAAATAAATCATGGCATATCCACATGGCAGAAGGTTAGGCAGTCATTAAAAACAAAGACAAATACTTGGCACTGAAAGACGTTCATCAGATGTTACAAAGGAGTACGAATAGGATAAATTTATTTCAAATTTATTTGCACATATTGCACAGGGAAACGTGGAGGGATATTATCGAAACGGCAAGATGAGCTGTGGGTTATTTTTAGTTTTTTGCTTGCCTCTCTGCATTTTAGATTTTTTTTTCTAGAGTGAATCTGTATTATTTGTATAATTTTTAGAAAGAGATTTTTAAAAGCCCAGGAAACAGACCTGTCAACCACACTGTGAGACTTTCTACGAGTAAGATACTATTCAAGATGCTGGGGGAGTAACATCAGAGAATGGCCATGCCTGCCGTTAGTATTACGCATGATATGTAAATAATAGAGCTAAGAGAAAGGGAGGTGTAATGTTGGAAACAAATGCACTCCAAAGACAGAACTATAAATCTAACCACAAAGTTTGAGATTGGGTGATTATATACTGATTGTACGTTAAAACAACTACTAGTATAACCTACTGTGGGTACTATTCACATAGTCCTAAAGTGGTATTACCATTCTGCTAGCTTGTAGGAACGTTTTATTTATACTGATTTCTGTTTCATCAAAGCATGCACATAGCTTAAAGAGAAAAATACTACTTAAAGACTTAAAATGAAATGCATCAGTCTTCTGCATCATCCTTCCCCGCCACCAGAAAAACCAATGGCAACTCCTTTTTACCTGTTTCTCCTGGTATTTACCTCCATATTTCTAATAGTATTCTTTCAAACTATTTCACCATCCTCTTAATCCTCAATAGATGTATCTGGCTATTTTTCTATAGCTTACACTTAAAAAAAATAAACTCCTATTAATAGTGAGATCTTTTTAAGGAATGCCATTTCAGCTAACTTGGCAGCTGGATACTTTCCGATTCGTCTTGGGAGGGCCCACTGACGATCGATGAAGAACCGAATCACTGACCAAGGTGCCCGCTTCTTACCCTGCACTCAATCAGATCAGGTTTCTCAGCCCAGCCTCCTGGTGTTGGGAATACTGAGAGCAACGGGTCACCACAGATCCTTCTTCTCTCATCTCTTTAAAATAATAATACATCCTGTTGATGTGATCTGAGGGTTTTGCCTCATACAATATTTCAGGAAAAATTTATCCTATCTGGCTCCAAAGCAGAGAACCTCCTTCACCCTTATAGACATAAGTGAAAAAAAAAAAGGGTAAAAATATTCCAAATATACTCCCACCTTCCCATCAATAGAGTGGTAGTTTAAAAAAAAAAAGGAAATCAATCATTCTTGGGTCCACCCATGTGCCATCTCTCCTGACAACAGAAACAGTTAAAAATCATCAGAGAAAAAAATCTGCTTGGGCAGTTTCCCAGTTATGAACAAACTCTGTATCAATTACAAATAAACTAGAATGCATTTTCCCATAAAAACTATAAATGTTTGCTTAGCTTTCTGGACTTGCCTATAGAAGTGAATTTGTGCCGTATGCAGCTGAAATGCTGTACGCCTGCAGCAGACAACACTTGGTCAGAGACCTTGCTGAGATCCTGTAGGCCTGTCTAGCCACCTTCGAGAGTATGAAGTTTGACGTGGATACTTCTGTAGTTGTGACTGCACTTAAAACCATCCCTAGCACTGTTACTAACTTTACCTGCCATGATTAAAGTTACCGTCTGATTTACAACTACAACCAAAGAGAAAAGAAGGTGTATGAGAAAGATTGCCCAGGGTGGACCAGTTCACTGGTGATGAAAGGTGGTAACAGGTGGGACCCAGGCCACAGCAGGCTGCCTATGACTGGGGTGGACCCAGTGAAGTGTTTGTCATTGTTTGAACAATGACTTTGTACGGTTTTCAAAGTCCTATCCTATCTGGACGTGACAACATATTTATCACAACCAGTTTTCAGACAAGGAAGAAGGTACTGGGGACACTGTACACCGCTGACACCACATGTTTAGGGCTCCCTGTCCTCCATCTTCCCTTTATACTTCCTATCTCCTCCACCAACATTTGCACAGCAAGTCCTGGAGAAGGAAAACAAAGGCCTGACAGAGGCGCCACTGCCACCGCACTCAGAGAGGACTGGAGGGGCAGGCGGAGCGGAGGGCTGCTCGGATTTTGGCCGAAGAATGTGGAGCGTTTGCTCCCTCCCACCCCAAATCCTGCACAAGCTCCTCTGGCGGGGCTTTGCTTCCAAACAGGAGAACAAGAGCTTCTAGCAATCACATGTCCTGTCCTTGAAATAACATCACCTTCAAAAGCAAGGGGAAAAAACAGAAAGTCAGGTAGTTTCCCTCGCTCCTGCAGCCTCTGCTGTTCTTCCCGGAGCTCTCACCAGCGGCTTCGTGGGCAAGGAAGTAACGAAGTCAGTTCCCACTGCGCACTCCCACCGAGGCTAGATACGTAAATGATCAACGATTATGGAACATCGGCATCATGAAGCAAGATAGTTTTTAATCAGATCATGAAACACAAGTGTAAACTAATTAAAATATAGGAAAAGCAAACAGTAGGAGAATATATAAGAACTAAGTACAAAGAGGACTTGAACAATTAAAAAATTATTCAGACACAAATTCAGGTACCATAATTTTTATACTTAGATTCTTTAAACATCTTAAAGGTTTCTTTGTAAAACAAATTCATCATATTAGAATAATACAGTTCAATGCAAGCAAGAAATCTAAGAAAGCCAGGTTATTGAGCAGATAGTTTTCTGGGCACAAGAACAAGCTACAATCAATTTTGAATGATCTACATGTGTGTTATCCACAGCTAATTTTCCATCCTGGTTCAGCTTCCTCGGGCCTGCCTACTCATTCCATTAGCCAGCTGGTACATGCTTATGGAATGTAAACTGATCATAATAGCAGCTTAAATAAAACCTGAGTGGGAACACAAATCTGGTGCAAAATCGTCTTAAAATCCAGAGTCAAACAAATTAGTTTTGAGTTATCTGGGTCTGGGTTTCTTTTTACTCACATGAATCAACTGAGAGTTAACTATATCAGTATAGAGAAAGGGTAGCAAGATAACTTAAGGCAACGAAAATGAAACAACAGAAATAATGAAGAACATAAGAAAATGAGATTTTAAAAGAGTATCCGAGAAGCTAAATTTCAAGTAATTGCTCAAAAAAGACATCAACATACACCTTCCTGACAAACGGTGAACGAAAGTGTTATGGACTCAAAGTTTGTGCCCCCCACCCCCAACTTACATGTTAAAATCCTAACCCCTAATGTGATGGTGTTAGGAGGTGGGGCCTTTGGGAGGTGATTAGGTCATGAGGATGGAAGGCTCATGAATGAAATCAGTGCCCTGATAAAAAGAGACCCAGGGATCCGTCTCCTCCATCTGCCATGCAGAGGACCCAGGGAGAAGATGGCTCTGTGAACCATGAAGTGGGTCCTCAACAGAGACTGAATCTGCTGGCAGCTTTATCTCAGACTTCTGGCCTCCAGAACTGTTAGAAATAAATGTTTGTTGTTTAAACCACTCAGTATGTGGCATTTTTAGCATAGCAGCCTGGATGGACCACGACAGAGAGCTACGAATACAGGCTGAACATTAGATGCCTTCCATGTTTTGTGCTTCCCTCAGTCTTTAAAAAGTCAACTTTAATCAACTAATTGTAACGTATGGTATCTGTCACATGATGGGTGGAAGAGGTTCAAATGAGGTAACGAGTCGTGTGAGACCACTCTGAAGGTCTCGATGTGCTCACACAAGCATGACTCGGTGACATGCACACAGACTTAGAAAATCAGCAGAAATGAGCGCAGCACCGTTGCTGCTGTTGACGGGGACGGCCCCTGACGGGCCATTGCACAGGGCTGGGGTCTGGGTAGAACCTAAGAGAAACTTTTCTATAGCAATGTACGTCTCTTCCCATAATGGGGTGATGAGGCTTGAAGGGAGAAATGGAACAATTTACTTGATCTTCAGTTGGAATTTGATGTCAGACCACAGAACATCTGATAAAAAAATATGGACAGATGATTCAGTCACTGCTGGGTACCTTCAGACAGCTGCCCACAGCCTCACCACCAGTCAGCAGTGTTTAGTGGTTTAGTGACCACATGGACTGGCAGGTATCATAGGACAGAATTTGGGTTCTGCACTACTTAGTAATTCAGTTATAGATTTGGTTGAAGAAATTCAGCCCATCCGTATTTAATTCCAGAAGACAAAAAAATTGTCTAGGGTATCAGCTGAAAAGAAGGTAAGAAAATTCAAATTATGGAGAAGGTTTTTGAAGACAAGATAAAACTCAGTAGGGACATTGAGGTCATTTGGGAAATGAAGGTAATCATTCATAGACAAAAAATGGAGGCACAAGAAGTTAATTCTGTAAATTATACTTAAATTTAGCCAGCCTCTGTCAAGCACTTCCTCTGTAAGGGATGACGATTT